CCAGCACTTGGGCCATCTTCTACTGCTTTCCCAGGCCACAGCAGAGAGCTAGATCGGAAGAGGAGCAGCCGGGGCTAGAACCGGCACCCACATGGGATGCCGATGTCGCAGGAGGAGGATTAACCTACTGTGCCCTAGTGCCAGCCCCATAAAAGAAGGTTTAAGGACACTTTTGAAGAATTACAAATATTCTGATCAAATAACTCTTGCCTACGGTAGGCCCATAAAAGTTTGTCTTCTGTGGCTTATTTTATGTTCAAAAGAATCACATGCAGTACTTGGTTATCCTATAGGAAAAAGAAGACTATCTCCATGTGTTAGGCTACACTCATTCTAAATGCAAGAGTTTAATCACATACCTTTGTTAACACATCAGCCAGGTCAGCACGAACTTTAGTCCGCAGAGATGTTCTAGCCACATCTAAAAGGATTTCTCTTTTCATCTCCTTCCCTACTTTAACTTTCTCCAAAACTTCTAGGGCCTTTATCTTGGCAGCTTCAAAGCCTTCAGCTATTATTCTAGGGTGCAGACCCTATTACACCAATATAAAATTATAAAGTTAGCCATAGCGAAATAATTATCCTCTCCTATTGATAAGTATGTACAAAAATAACATTATCCATATTAATGCCACTAAATATTAGTTATGTATATAATTTATAAAAGTCATCTCTGAAACAATATCAAACTTACAGGAAAGTTGAAAGTCTAGTACAAAAAAATTTTTTTTATTTAACATTTACTTATTTGAAAGGCAGAGTTACAGAGAGGCAGGCAGAGAGAGAGAGAAAGCGAGACAGAGAGATTGATTTTCTATCCACTGATTCACTCCCCAAATGGCCACAATGGCCAGAGCTGGGCTGATCTAAAGCCAGGAGCCAGGGGTTTCTGCCAGGTCTCCCACACAGGTGCACAGGCCCAAGCACTTGGGCCATCTTCTACTGCTTTTCCAGGCCCTAGCAAGGAGTTGGGTCTGAAGTAGAGCAGCCAGGTCTCGAACTGATGCCCATATGGGATGCCGGTGCTGAATACAGCAGCTTTACCCACTATGCCACAGCACCAGCCCCTAGTACAAAAATTTTATTTCCAAAACTTTTTTTTTTTTTGACAGGCAGAGTGGACAGTGAGAGAGACAGAGAGAAAGCTCTTCCTTTTCTGTTGGTTCACCCCACAATGGCCACCACAGCTGGCGCACCGCGCTGATCCGAAGGCAAGAGCCAGGTGCTTCTCCTGGTCTCCCATGCGGGTGCAGGGGCCCAAGCACTTGGGCCATCCTACACTGCACTCCCGGACCACAGCAGAGAGCTGGCCTGGAAGAGGGGCAACCGGGACAGAATCCGGCGCCCCGACCGGGAACCCGGTGTGCCAGCGCCACAGGCGGAGGATTAGCCTATTGAGTCGCAGCACTGGCCATTCCAAAACTTTTTAACTACATTGTTGGGTGGTACCCTTCTGAATGGGTACAAAAGATTTCTTTTAATCAAAGAAATCAAAGAATCAGCACTGGTTGAGAGAAAAATGGTAGAAAGATACCACCTTCACCAAGTGATCAAAGTTAACCTCACAGTACTGGGACAGACGGATAGCACGTACCTCCTGCATCATATATGCATTTAGAAACACACAACAGCTCTTCTATGATACTCTTGCCAGAAACTAATCACCTGAGTTCAATTGTGAGGAAACAGACAAATCCAAATCGAGGGACTTTGTATGAAATAACTGGCCTAGGGGCTGGTGCTATGGTGTAGCAGGTAAAGCCACGGCCTGCAGTGCCAGCATCCCATATGGGCACTGGTTCGAGTCCTGCCTGCTCCACTTCCAATCAGCTCCCTGCTAATGCACCTGGGAAAGCAGTGGAAGATGGCCTAAGTCCTTGGGCCCCTGTACCCATGTGGGAAACCCGGAAGAAGCTCCTGGCTCCTGGCTTTGGATTGGCACAGCTCCGGCCATTGCAGCCATCTGGGAAGAGAACCAGCAGATAGAAGACCTTGCATGTGCGCGCACTCTCTCTCTCTCTCTCTCTCTCTGCCTCTCTATAACTCTGACTTTCAAATAAATAAAATAAATCTTAAAAAAAAAAAAAGAAATAACTGGCCTGTACTCCTTAAAAGTAGCAATATCATGAGGCACAAAAGGCAGTTCGGGAACTATTCTAACTTAAAGGAGACTAAAGGGATGTGAAAACTGAACACATGATCCCATATTTTCAATAAAGAACACCAGCAGGACATGTGGTAAAGTGTGAGTAAATCTGGAGATCATGTAGCAGTACTGTATGAATGTGTTAGTGTTGGTGTTCTGCTTTATGTAGTTATAAGATTATGATTATATATGAGAATCCCATGCTTCCAAAAAATACACACTGGAGGCTGTCACTGTGGCATAGTGGATTGGGCCTCCACCTGCAGTGCAGGCATCCCAAATGGGCACTGGTTTGAGTCCCGGCTGCTCCATTTCCAATTCAGCTCTCTGCTGATGGCCTGGGAAAGAAGCAGAAGACAGCCTAAGTGCTTGGGCCCCTGCACCCATATGGGGGACCTGGAGGAATCTCCTGGCTCTTGGCTTTAGATTGGCCCAGCTCTGGCTATTGTGGCCATTTCAGGAATAAACCAGCAGATGGAAGACTTCTCTCTCTGTATCTCCCTCCCTCTCTCTCACTAACTCTGCATCTCAAATAAATAAATAAATAAATAAATCTTTATAAAGAAAGAAAGTAAAGGAAGGAAGGAAGAAATACACACTGGGTCAGTATTGTGGCACAGCTGGTTAAGCTGCTGCTTGCAACAGTGGCAACCCATATAGGAGTGCCGGTTCAAGTGCTAGCTCCTGACTGCTCCAGTTCCAATCAAGGAACTGCTAACACACCTGGGAAGACAGTGGAAGATGCCCCAAGTACTTGAGCCCTTGTCCCCATGCGAAACACCATGATGGAGTTTCTGGCTCCTGGCTTCAGCCTGGCTCAGCCTTGGCTATTATGGCTATTTAGGGAGTGAATCATTTGATAGAATATATCTCTCTCTGGGAGATAGAAGTAGTGGTGCAGCTGGTTAAGCTGCCACTTGCAACACTGGCATCCCATATGAACGACTATTCATGTCCCAACTGCTCCACTTCTGATCCAGCTCCCTGATCATGGCCTGGAAAAGCAGTGGAGGATGGCCCAAGTATCAGGGCCCTTGCTACCCACATGGGAGACCCAGATCAAGCTTCTGGCTTCAGCCTGGCCCAGCCTCAGCCCTTGCAGCCATTTGGGGAATGAACCAGCAAATGGAAGATCTCTCCCTCTCTTCTTCTCTCTCTGTAATTCTGCCTTCCAAATAAATAGGTAAATTTAAAAAAAAAATGGTATGTCTATTCCCCTGTGTGTGTTTTTGTTCTGCCTTTCAAACAAGTAAATCTTTAAAAAAAAATTTAGGGGTAGGGTTCAGTATTGTGGTGTAGCTGGTAAAGCTGTCGCCTACGGTGCCAGCATCCCATGTGGGTGCCAGTTAGAGACCCAGCTGTTCCACTTCCCATCCAGCTCCTTGCTAATACACCTGGAAAAGCAGTAGAAGATGGTTCAAGTCCTTGGGCCTCTGCACCTCCCACCTAGGTGGGAGACCTAGAAGAAGCTCCTGGCTCCAGCCTGGCCCTCCCCGAGCTGTTGCGGCCATTTGGGAAGTGAACCTGCAGATGGCAGATCTTGCTCTCTGTCCCTCCCTCCCTCTCTGTAACTCTGAATTTCACATAAATAATCTTTTTAAAAATTTTTAAAGGAAAGATACACTGAAATATTTAGATATCTTGTAACTTATACTATCCAGAAAAACATAAGTACACACACACACATACACATATATCTCAAAGAAAGCAGGGCAGAGTTGGGGAAGAAACAGTAACTCTCGGAGAATCTGAGTAGAAAGCATACAGGGATTATTTGCAATATTCTTACAACTTTTCAGAAGGTCTGAAATTATGGGAAAATTTTTTCTTAAAAACCAGTATTGAGCCGGCACTGCGGCTCAATAGGCTAATCTTCCACCTTGCGGTGTCGGCACACCGGGTTCTAGTCCCGGTCGGGGCGCCGGATTCTGTCCCAGTTGCCCCTCTTCCAGGCCAGCTCTCTGCTGTGGCCCGGGAGTGCAGTGGAGGATGGCCCAAGTGCTTGGGCCCTGCACCCCATGGGAGACCAGGATAAGTATCTGGCTCCTGCCTTCGGATTGGTGTGCTATCCGCAGCGCGGCGGCCATTGGAGGGTGAACCAACAGCAAAAGGAAGACCTTTTTCTCTGTCTCTCTGTCCACTCTGCCTGTCAAAAAAAAAAAAAAAAAAAAAGTATTGTTCTACAAAATAATATACAAACTTTACGAAAACTGGCACTAGGTCCTGTAATATTCTTATTTTTTAAAAGATTTATTTATTTGAAAGAATTACAGAAAAAAAGAGACAAAGGCAGACGCAGAGGGAGAGAGAAGTCTTCCATCTGCTGCTTCACTCTCCAATGGCTGCAATGTCTGGGGCTGGGCCAAACCAAAGCCAGGTGCTTCATCTGGGTCTCCCACATGGGTACAGGGGCCCAAGCACTTGGGACATCTTCCAGTGCTTTCCCAGGCGCATAAGCAGAGTGCTGGATCAGAAGTAGAACATCCAGGACTCAAACCAGCACCCATATGGGATGCCATCGCTGCAGGCAGCACTGGCCCCATGGTAATCGTTAAATAATGACAGTAATTTAGCATTTGTGTTAGTCTCTACTCTAAAAGTTGTACATGAATTCTTTAATCTTTTCCACAACACTATGAAATAGGTGTTATTATCAGTCCCATTTTACAAATGAGACCAAAGCCTGAGGGATGGTATAATTTGTCTTAGAGTTTTATTATTAACCATTTTCAACAATTTCCTTGTTCTTGGCCGGCGCCTCGGCTCACTAGGCTAATCCTCCACCTGTGGCGCCGGCACACCAGCTTCTAGTCCCAGAAGGGGCGCCGGATTCTGTCCCGGTTGCTCCTCTTCCAGGCCAGCTCTCTGCTGTGGCCCTGGAGTGCAGTGGAGGATGGCCCAAGTCCTTGGGCCCTGCACCTGCATGGGAGACCAGGAGAAGCACCTGGCTCCTGGTTTCGGATCAGCGCAGTGCGCTGGCCGCAGTGCACCGGCTGCAGCGGCCATTGGGGGGTGAACCAACGGAAAAGGAAGAACTTTCTGTCTCTCTCTCTCTCTCTCTCTCTCTCACTGTCCACTCTGCCTGTCAAAAATAAAAATTAAAAAAAATTTTTTTTCCTTGTTCTAGGACCTCACATTCATGCATCTGGACTACTATGAAAACTTCCTTCCAGTCTTGATTCCCTTAAAACTGTTGCCCAAACATTTAAAATGCCAATCTGACCACATCAGTGATTAAAATATTTCTATGTTTTGTCTGTTCACCACCAGATACAGTGGAGCATGCTACACCGCCCTCCATGATCTGGCTCCTGCCTCCACTCCACCACTGTCCACATCCTTAACTCCAGCAACACCAAAATGCAGGTAGCTCCCTACAATACCATGCTGCTTCTATTCCCTGTGCCTCTGCTCACATTGTTGCTTCCGCCTGGAATGCCTTTCTCCTCATCTCGTGCCCTTTCATATGGTTCACTCTCCCAAAGATTCAACCCAGGCCTTACTTCCTCCTGAGTGCTTTCTGACGATAGGCTAGGATAGGCTACTCCTCCCTCCTCAGTGTTAGCCTAACTTCATTACTGTACAGCCACAGTTGCATAATTATGAACATATCTCTCAGCATTTCATCCTGCCTGAACTGCTGTCTTCCTAAGCTGACTCTCATATTTCTTGTTTTTTCTTCTTCTACCCATGGTTCCAAGGAAACAAATCTTATCCTAGCTTATAGAGTGGACCCAGATCAGTCTAAGTCAGTTCTAAAAATTGTTACTGGTTGAGGTTGGACATAAGGTAAAGTTGACCCAGTCATACTAAATGAAGAATTTATATCCCACAGTTGAGTGAATGCCTTTCTCTTGTCCTTTCCTGCTGAGTATTAGCAAAGGAAGCAAGTTAGCCCAGATTTCCTCCAACAGTCACACATTCAGGATGGCGATAACTCTTAGGGTAACACAAAGTAACAGTGGAAGAGCTAAGAGACAAAAAGGACCCGGGCAGTTGATGACCGATTGAACTTTTTAATCAGCCAACCCTGAAGCTGGCCTTATCTCTCAATGTTCTATTATAGGACATAATAATTTCCTTATTGTTTAAATGAGTTCTAGTCAAGTTTCTACTGCTTACAGTCAAAGACGTCCTAACTGAGATAAGTTGCATGTACTGAATTAATAGACAATTCCCAATACTAAATGAAATACAAAGAAGTAATAATTTTAGTGGCTTGACTAGATTATGCTTCACTGAAATGATCCCTGAATGCAAGAAAAAATTCAAATACTTAATTAGAGAAAAGAGATAAGTAATGCCAAGAAAATAACACAGATTGAAAAAAGGCACAAAGGCAAAAATGTGCATGATGATTTCAGAGGCTGGAGAATGGAGGAGACCGACTAGAGTAGGTGGTTTACAGAGGGAAATAAAACTAGGTGGATCTATTCACAACGTGTAAAACCTTCACGAATTTTTCTCCAGTTTTTTGTTAAGATTTATTTGAAATGCAGAGTTACAGAGAGAGGGAAGACAGATCTTCCATCCACTTGTTCATTCCCCAAATGGCCACAATGACCAGGGCCGGGCCAGGCTGAAGTCCAGAGCTAGGAGCTTTTTCTGGGTCTCCCATGTGGATACAGGGGCCCAAGGACTTGGGCCAAACTCTGCTGCTTTCCCAAACACATGAGCAGGGAGCTGGAGCAGAAGTGGAGCAGCCAGGATTTGCAACGGCACCCAGATGGAATGCTGGTGTTTCAGGCAGCAGCTGTACCCACTACACCATAGTGCTGGCCCCTCCAGTTTTTGTTGTTGTTGTTGTTTTGTTTTTAAGATTTGATTTATTGAAAGGCAGAGTTACAAAAAGAGAGAGGGAGAGACAGAGAGGGCTTCCAACTGCTGGTTCACTCCCTATTTTTAAATGGCCACTGCATCAAAAGTAGAACAGCTGGGACTCAAACTGCTGCCTACATGGGATGCTGGTGTCACAGGCAGCAGCTTAACTGCTGCTCCACGATGCCAGCCTCCTACACTTGATCTTAGCCAAAAAGCCAAGAAGTGATACCACTGGCTTCCTACATTTTTTTTAAGGTATCTGATTTTGTTTCAATTTTATCAGTGCCTTTTTCTTTCTTAGGCCATTACTCATGGGTAATTTTTTTTATCTCTTCATATATCCTAAACATTCGATTTTTAAAAGAGGTACATAGGGTACTGAGAGGTACAAGGGACTGGCACTGTGGCACAGGCATCCCATATGGGGGCCAGTTCGAGTCCCGGCTGCTCCATTTCCGATCCAGCTCCTTGCTAACGGCCTGGGAATGCAGTAGAAGATGGCCCAAGTTCTTGGGCCCTTGTACCCGTGTGGGAGACCCAGAGGAAGCTTTTGGCTCCTGGCTTTGGGTTAGCCTAGATCCACCAATTGTAGCCATCTGGGGAGTAAACTAGTGGATGGAAGACCTCTCTCTCTGTCTCTCTCTCTTTTTATTTATTTATTTATTTATTTATTTATTTATTTATTTATTTTGACAGGCAGAGTGGACAGTGAGAGAGAGAGACAGAGAAGAAAGGTCTTTCTTTTGCCGTTGGTTCACCCTCCAATGGCCCGCCGCGGCTGGGCGGCTGGGGCAAGGCCACCGGCGCTGAACCAATGGCAGGAGGCAGGAGGCAAGGGGCTTTTCTTGGTCTCCCATGGGGTGCAGGGCCCAAGCACCTGGGCCATCCTCCACTGCACTCCCTGGCCACAGCAGAGGGTTGGCCTGGAAGAGGGGCAACCGGGACAGAATCCAGCGCCCCGACCGGGACTAGAACCCGGTGTGCCGGCGCCGCTAGGCGGAGGATTAGCCTAGTGAGCCGCGGCACCGGCCTCTCTCTCTTTTTATATGTAACTCTGCTTCCCAAATAAATAAATAAATATTAAAAAAAGAAGTACATAATTCCAAACATAAATGATTTTTAGCAAAAATATTTATGCTTATAATTGTCCTAGAATATCTTGAGTAAAATTAACTTTTACCCTCTAAAATTAAGGCATTTTACTAGGAAAAAAACTGGAACTTCCCATTCAAAATAAAGCATAGATTGTATGAAATTCTAATACCTCAGAAATGTACAGATCAGCTTGTTTTAGTAATTCTCCAATAATTAGAACATTGGAAGTGGTACCATCTCCTGTGATGTCATCCTGGGCTGTTGCAACTTTTGCTATTAAGGAAGCTGTTGGGTGTTGAATTTGCTGAGAAAAGTAACCAACGCATTAGAAAAAGAGAGGGAAAAGATAAAGAGATAGGTCACCAAACACAAGATGACCTAAGGGTCAATAGTAAAATCAAGACACAAAATCCTGCTTCATTCTACAAGTTTAAAGGCTTTACATTATAGATCCTTAATAAATGTCAACCCTAAGATTTACAAACTGAGAACTAATGAGCTTTGAACACTGTATACAAGTCTTTCAATTGGAATGCAATGACATTTCCAAAATATTAAATCCTTCGGTCTCAAAGATGAATACATTTATGAAAACTGCAAAGAATTTTTAATTTTTCCATGATTACAAAAAATATAATGCAGTGCCTTTAAAAGGTGTTAATAGGTAAGAATCCCTATTACTTGAACTTTACAAAGACTTGAGTATAGCTAGAAAACATTTCTCATTGAAGTTTAATGCAATCAGCATATCTCAAGAGAGCAGTTCTTAGCTGGCAGCCTTGCCCTCAAGATACACAAGTTGTACTAATTCTTAATTAAAGCTTATTAAAGTCAGCAGCACCAGCTCACCATTTCGCGGAGCAGCACGTTTCCATCTTTGGTGAGTTTGATGTCACCTGCCCCAGAAACAAGCCTGTTCAGAGAACACTGATGTTATTCACTTTACTTAGCAAGAGTCAAGCACCGCACTCCCAGGACTCGCCACTCCAGTATCCTTAGTACAGGGAACAAGGCTTGGACAACTTCCCTTGTACTATGGGGAGATACGACAGAATTACTACCATCCGCAGCTCTCAGAACCTGTCCACCTGGGTGGACTGCTACGGTGATTTCATTCCAAATGGAGCTTTTACAAGTTTAAAGATAAGAGCAGTTGATGGGTTATGAATAGTGTCTGGGTCAAAGAGTATATGTCTACAAAGCACAAATTTGAAATTTTTCCTGCATATTTTTAATTTTGGTGAATGTTGCCATTCAGCCATTCAACTTAGTTCCCTTCATCCCTCGCATTTATTAGATGATCAAGTCCTGTCAGTTCTACCACCTGAATATCTCTTGATATCTTCTCTTCTTTTCCACTATCATCATCAGCCCTACCCTGTACTAGTGTCCTGATAATCTCCAAATTTAAATCTACCCTCTATACTACATTCATCTTTTGAAAAGTCAGTGTTACTCAGTCAGTTCCCTGACCTCAAATCCTGCGATGATTTTTATGTTCTCCATCACCTTCATGGTAAAGCCCAAACTAACTTAGCTAAAACATATTTGATATTTCCCAATCTGGCTTATGTCTACCTTTCCTTCAATGTACCACCTTCCAACATGCAAATCTTTTGGTTCCCTCAGTATACTACGCTTTATTTTTTTATTTCTGTTGGGTTTACACCACCGAGCGTTCTTATTCCTGAAATTACTCAAGCTAGAAGCCTTTACTCCTTCCTCCAACTCCTTCTTCCAAGACTCTGATCAGGGTTAAACGTTTTGCCTACTGGGTAAGATGATGCATGGGATGCCAGCGTCTCCTGTGGGCGTGCCAGGGTTGGAGTTCTGGCTCTGCTCTTGCTTCCAGCATTCCTGCTAATGTGCACCCTGGGAGGCAGCAGGTGATGGCTCAAATACATGGGGCCCAGTCACCCACACATGGGAGATAGGCTGAATTCCTGGTTCCTGACTTTGGCCTGGCCCAGTCTCGATTTTTACAAGGTCAATTCGCAGTTGGGTGTTCTCTGCCTTTTAAACAACTTAAAAAAAAAGACTGAACATCTTCTGTTGAGAAGTTTTTCTTTATAACATCAGTAATTGTTCCCTTTACTTGATATAATCATATGCATCTATATATAATTAGTACATCTGTCTCTACCGCTCTTGATTACCTGTGTGTTCCTGGCATTTAATGCCTGTTTCGTCGTTAATATCTTGCTCATTCTTGTGAGGGTGTATCTCTCCCCTCTACTTTTCTGTCCTTATCAGACTTTCTCTCGCTCTTGTCTAAAGACAATAATTGACGCTACTTAAATATATGTTGAACGAAAGAACACATACGGGAACCAAGCGTTAAGGTTAACTTAAGTGCTAGACCACGGAACTTGCTAGACTATGGAACTTGGACTGGAATCCATACTTGCCTGGCTCCAAAGCCCCTGCCCTTTCCCCTCCAACACACTGCCACAAAAAACCGCAACTATCTGTCGCACCTGTAGACCAAAGGCATGGTTGTCTTGTTAAATGCCTAACGTTTCCCACAAGACATTAATGGAACTGGCTTCTTAATTTGCATGACTTTATCACTCATGGGCCCCCTCCTGAGGGAGGTTTTTCTCCTCCTCCCCCCGCCCAAGCTAGAGATTGCTCAGGGCAGGAGCGAGACTGCGAGCCACCAAGGCCACAGGTGCACCCTCCTCGTTCAAAGGGCTTCGCGGGCGCCCTAACCGCCGCTCCAAGCGCCGTCTCACATTTTCATGGTGCCCTTAGGACCCAAGTTGGTCCGCAGCACATCCTGCAGCCCTCGCGCAGCACATATGTTGACAGCCAAGGCAGCCTGGGCCCGAGCCACCTCAGCCTTGGTGTTAACGGCCTTTATCGAAGCCATCGCCAGCCGGCTGAGAGCAAAAACAGTTTCCTCTCGATTCTGAAGCGAAGCCCTGGCGCCACGCCCCCTCGCCAGAACCTCGGCCAATCAGCGCCCTGGCAGGAAGTGACGTTCTCAGGCCTCGCCGGGACGGAAACCAGAATCGGCTGGGGTCTGGTCGCCAAAATGGCGTCCCCCGCCTCCGCCCGCGCTCCCCCGGGCAAGCGAGTGGTGAATCAGGACGAACTGCGGCGGTTGATGAAGGAGAAACAGCGTCTGAGCACCAACCGGAAACGGATAGAATCTCCATTCGCAAAGTATAACCGTTTGGGGCAGCTGAGTTGTGCCCTGTGTAACACCCCGGTGAAGAGCGAGCTCCTGTGGCAGACTCATGTCCTGGGAAAGCAGCACCGAGAGAAGGTGGCCAAGCTCAAAGGCGCCAAGGAAGCCACTCAGAGTGCGTCGGCCAGCGCAGCACTGCAGTCCGCCAAGAGGAAGGGGCCGGACGCGGACAACCAAGATGCCAAGAGAGCGAAGACCGCCTCGGGGCCGCAGGTACAGCCCTCCACGTCCGCTTTGCCCCCTAACTTTGCCAAAACGGGAAAGGAGACCGCTAGAGTGACCCCCAGTAAGCCTTCGGGACTCGGTTTACTCCCTGATTATGACGATGAGGAAGACGAGGAGGAAGACGATGAGGAGGAGGGAATAGAAGGAAAAGCGGGGGACCCTAGCAAGCAGCCGTCGGGTGCACAGGGCAAAGAACCCTCACTTTCCTCCTTGCAGGAGGCAGCGAACACTGTGCGGCCAAAAGATTCCTTTCATCCAAATCCTCCCAAGGCCCCCGTAATTCCTCACTCAGGGTCAATTGAGAAAGCAGAAATACAGGAGAGAGTGGTGGAAAGGAGAGAGAACACCGCAGAAGCCTTACCGGAAGGTTTCTTTGACGACCCTGAGGTAGACGCAAAGGTACGGAAAGTCGATGCCCCAAAGGATCAGATGGACAAAGAGTGGGACGAATTTCAGAAAGCCATGAGACAGGTCAACACTATTTCCGAAGCTATCGTTGCTGAAGAGGATGAGGAGGGACGCCTGGACCGCCAGATTGGGGAGATCGATGAGCAGATAGAGTGTTACCGTCGGGTGGAAAAGCTGCGGAATCGCCAGGATGAAATAAAGAATAAGCTTAAAGAGGTTCTGACCATAAAAGAACTGCAGAAAAAGGAAGAGGAGAACACTGACAGCGATGACGAGGGAGAACTACAGGATTTGTTGTCTCAGGATTGGAGGGTGAAAGGGGCTTTGTTGTAAGACTTAAAAACGATCCAAGCTTTTTGACAGTGTCTCTTGCTGTGGTATGAGAAGTGTGGTCTCAGTATTACTGTTGGTTATCCTGTACTAGAGATGTAGGTGCCTAACTGGGTTATGAGATAAACTGAACCAGTGAGCAACAACACTTTGGGAAACTGGTGTAAAATATTTTAGAAGAAAAGGGCCTTCCCCCTACCTTTTTTGGAAATTTTTGAAATTTATATACCAAGATGCCAACGTTTTCACACATTCCTGGTTTAACCGTATAATTTTGAGTTGTAAAATCTGTAAGTTGTAAATGTTGTACATAGTTAAATATATATTTACTTAAGTAATTCTGTTTCAAGTGTATAAAATAGAAGTCAGAACAGCAGACAAGCGTTTACATGAGTACTCAGTGTGCTGTTTAGGATGTCTATGTCTTTTGCTGACCCCTAAATCAAACTCAGAGGGTTGGTGTTCTGTTTTTGTAGAACTTTGATCATAAACACATCAGTCATTCTAGGTTAATCCTTTCTCTAGCTTGATATATTCTATTTTCACAAACTTGACTTAGATCACAGAAATGGGGAACTTTTTTTCTGCAAAGGGCCATTTGGATATTTATAACATCAATTGCAAACCATACAAAATTATCAACTTAAAAATTAGTTTGCTACAGATGAATTGAATTTCAATTCCCACCCTTTGGTTGCTTTGGCAGGGCCAGATGAAATTATTTCCCCAGCCTTGTATGGCCTCGTGGCAAAATGTTCCTCTCCCCTGCTTTAGGAAATTATCAAGAAAAATAGATGCCAGACAGGTATAGCCTCCTTAAAGTTTCTCTGACCAGACTAATGATTGTCAGGTGTAGATGCCCGAGCATCACTTACAGAACTTTAAAAGAGAAGTGCCTAATCCTTATCCTTACGTTCAGTAAATATTGAGGGCCCAGGCAGCTATTATTTTTGAAGACTCCTAAGGTATGTTACTATATACCGTCATTGAAGAGCAATTGTCCTAAACGTAGAACCTGCTCATATTTTGGGGGGTTTGGTTTTTTTATTCCATGGTAAACTAGGGCTCATGGTTACAGATTCTGTCAGTTGTAAGGATGTTTAAGTTCTTTTCCCAGCAGTAACAGTCGCCTTGTCATGGTCATGGGTAGTTTAAATCACTCCTTCCTTTGGATATTGTGGTATTCAAATTGGAAAATGGTGTTGTGGAATAGAGCCACATATGGCATATTCAGAGGTGAGCAGTAATAGTAGCTTAAACTTACAGAGTTCTTAGTATGGATTAGGCAGGGTTCTAAGTGCTTTACATGTATCAGATCTACGAGACCAGGTTTTATGGAGGGAAGTACCAAGACGTAAGGGTTGAAAAACCTTGAATGCTAGACAGAAGAATTCTTGTGGGCAACGTGGAACTAAATAGAGGTTTTTAATCAAAGAATTATATCCACAAAGAAATATGGAGGAGTCTTCTATTGTAGCACTTAGAATGGAATAAAACAGAAGGGAGAAGGAAGCTGAGTGACTGTATGGAAACTACATTTTCAAAAGCAAGGTGACTAAGACTTTGATTAGATATGGATTGGGAGAAAATTAGAGAATTGGAAGAGTTTCACAGAAAGAGCTGACATTTGAGCTAATAGAAGAGGAAGAGAAAAATGGAAGGGATAAAGATGAGTGTGGGTATCTGGAAGACGTTATCTAACAACATAGAGGCAGTGTGCTATACATTATCACTAGTCCTGTAGCCTTTTGCACAAAGTCTTTTAAGTTTTTTTTTTTTTTTTTTTAATTTGAAAGGCAGAGTTAGGGAGAGATTTTCCATCCAGTGGGTCACTCCCCAAATGCCCCAAAAGCCAGGAGCTGGGTCTCCCTTATAGATGCAGGGGCCCAAGCACTTAGGCCATCCTCTGCTGCTTTCCCAGGTGAATTATTAGCAGGGAGCTAGATTGGAAGTGGAACAGCTGGGACTGGACTGGTGGGATGCCAACATTGCAGGCCTCAGCTTTACCCAGTATGCCACAAGGCTGGCCCCAAGTCTTTGCTATTGAGTTACCAATTGATAAGTGATGGTAACTTCAGTTAGATACAGAAGGCATGCCTGCCTCAAATGTGTGAATCTCACATGTGGCATCCTATATGACCACTGGTTCAAGTCCTGGCTGCTACAGCTGGGAAACCAGCCGAAGATGGCCCAAGTACTTGCTTCTCTGCCGCTCATGTGAGAGACATGGATTGAGTTCCAGGCTCCTGGCTTTGGCCTGGCCCAGCCCTAGCCATTACAGCTATTTGTGAAGTAACCAGCAGATACAAGATTATCTAACTCAGCCTTTCAAATAAATAAACTTTTAAAAAAAAAATAGTACAAAGATGGGTTTGAATGATGGGCCCAATTCTACCTTGGTTATTGAGGAGTACAGTCCATTAATGATACAATGCAAGCCATATATCTTAAGAATTTCCTAGTAGCCAATTAAAAAGTTTTTAGAAAGTAAAATTAATTTTAATATATCCAAAATAAAATTTTAGTATTAGCTAAAAGTTATTAAGATTTATTTATTTGAAAGTTACAGAGAGGAAGAAACAGAGGCATATTCTTCATCCACTGGTTCAGCTCCCCAGATGGCTGCAACGGTTGGTGCTAGGCCAGGTGGAGGCCAGGAGCTTCTTTCGGGTCTCCCACATGGATGGCAGGGGCCCAAACACTTGGGCCATCCTCTGCTACATTCCCAGGCACATTAGCAGGGAGCTGAATCAACCTGGACTAAAACTAGTGCCCATATGAGATGCTGGCATTGCAGGCAGCAGCTTAACCCACTGTACCACAACACCAGCCCCATTGACCTATCAATTTTGAATCAGACCCCATAACTTGGAGAGAAAATAAAAATGTTAGCCCAGAGGCTGGCGCTGTGGCGTAGTGGGTAAAGCCACTGCCTGCAGTGCTGGCATCCTGTATCGGTGCCAGTTCAAGTCCCGGCTGCTCCACTTCCCATCCAGCTCTCTGCTATGGCCTGGGAAAGCAGAAGATAGTCCAAATCCTTGGGCCCCTGCACCCGCGTGGGAGACTAGGAAGAAGCTCCTGGCTCCTGGTTTCAGACCGGTGCAGCTCCAACCATTGGGACTAATTGGGGAGTGAAACAGCGGATTCACTCCCTCTCTCCCCCTCTCCTCTCTGTGTGTAACTCTTTCAAATAAATAAATAAATCTTTAAAAAAAAAAAGTCCAACTAAACTTCAAATGTACATTTGTTCAGTGCCTGAAAACTTACAAAATGCCTTCATGTATATTTCATTTAATAATAGAAGTGATTACTACTTTCTACATACTAAGGGACAAAAGAAGGTTAGAGAATGAAATTTTCAGGAACAAGAATAATATAGGCCTAGTAACACACACTAAGTAGTATGGAGTACTATGAAAGAACAAGGGAATTGGCAACAGAAGACTCAGGTTGCAGTTCCTGCTCCACCTTTTAATGCTCAGCGATCTTGAGCACGCCACCTCTGAATCGGAGTTTGCTCCACTCTAAGATGAGTATATATGATTTCTCACAGGGGCTCTGGTGAGAGTCCAGTGAGATGTGGACTCATTCTAAGGAACACAGAATGAAAGGTCTTAATGTGTGGATGCAGCATCCATTGGCTAGCTACTTGGCTGGATGTTGTGCAGGGGGTTTGAGTAAATAAGTGGGTTAGGAATGATGGCTAGATAGATGACCTTGAATTGCTTTTTTTTTTTTCTTTTTTTTTTTTGACAGGCGGAGTGGACAGTGAGAGAGAGAGAGAGAAAGGTCTTCCTTTGCCGTTGGTTCACCCTCCAATGGCCGGCACGGCCAGTGCGCTGCGGCCGGCGCACCGCGCTGATCCGATGGCAGGAGCCAGGTACTTATCCTGGTCTCCCATGGGGTGCAAGGCCCAAGCACTTGGGCCATCCTCCACTGCACTCCCTGGCCACAGCAGAGAGCTGGCCTGGAAGAGGGGCAACCGGGACAGAATCCGGAGCCCTGACCGGGACTAGAACCCAGTGTGCCGGCACCGCAAGGCAGAGGATTAGCCTAGTGAGCTGCGGTGCTGGCCTTGAATTGCTTTTAATAAGTAAATACCTGGGGCTGGCGCTGTGGCTCACTTGGTTAATCCTCCGCCGGTGGCATCCCATACAGGCGCTGGGTTCTAGTCCCGGTTGCTCCTCTTCCAAGCCAGCTCTCTGTTGTGGCCCGGAAGTGCAGTGGAGGATGGCCCAAGTCCTTGGGCCCTGCACCCTCATGGGAGACCAGGAGAGACACCTGGTTCCTGGCTTCGGCTCAGCGCGGTGTGCCAGCCACAGCAGCCATTGCGGGGTGAACCAACAGAAAAGGAAGACCTTTCTCTGTCTCTCTCACTGTCCATTCTGCCTGTCAAAAAAAAAAAAAAAATCTGTATACACAGGTTATATCCCAAACTTGACTTTCCTGCTAAGCTTTGGCTCACCTGTCTACCTAATATTCTCAGTGTTGAACTGATGTCCTGAATTTGGTGAATCAAATAGAACTTTGATTTTTCTTCCTAAAATTGGCTTTCCCTGTTACAGTAAATGGTGTTACCACTCACCCAGGTGCTTAAAGCAAACCCTGGGAGTCATCCTTCTTTCCTTCCTTATCCCCCAAATCTGGTGCATTAGTTAGGTCCTGTCTGCTCTGCCTCTGAAGTGTGCCCAGAATCTACCCACTTCCTGTCCCCACTGGCCCTGTCTGCCCCCTCATTCATTGTTACCTATCGTTCAACTGCAGGGGCAACCTGTTATCAACAAAGTAGAGTGATCTTTAAAAATTTTAGATCAAGTCACTGTCACTTAAAACCCTTCATTATATTCTTCTGTCTCACTGAGCTAAAAACACAAGCCCTTATTAAGTCTACATGGTGCTCAGGGGTTGCTAATTCAAATGTCTATGAGTTATGAACTGATGACACAAGGCCTGTTAAGGGCAACAGAAGGGGACAGGAGAGCATAAGTGCTCCTCGTTGGAAGCAGTTGTTATCGTTAGGAATAATGGCCGAGCGTGACCAAGCTTTTTTAAATTTCCAATAGCAGTTGCCAGCTAAGATTGCTCCTTAGTGGGCTGCATGTTATCCGTGAGCCGCCCCTTTGGGAGTGACTTGCTAAAACTTCGTCTGCTGGGCTTGCTCACTGGCAAGCTCTCTGGTCCTCACGTGTGCCACTTTAGTGCTTAGGTCCTTTCCGTCCGCTGCCTGGAACCTGACTTCAGGTAGCACAACGGTCTTCCTCATTCAGTACTAACATCCCTTCCCCAAGTGTCACAAACAGCCGTGCTCTACCTCCTGTCACTCTCACAGGATTTTAGG